TTCTTTTTTTGTCCCCCCTCAATTTCCTTCATTCATAATTAGTCATTCAATTCAGAACGGACAGCACATATAGGTCAATTATTTAAGTTCAATAATGCAAAAAACATGCATGCAAAAAACCACTTCTCTAAATTAGAGAATCCCTCCTCTGTCCCTTTGGAACTTTGTGAGTTTCTATGGATCACTGCCACATGGTAGACCCATTATGGTGGTTGAATTTTGTTAATTAAAAAATAATACTAAGTAAATTGGTTTTATTGGCAACTTAGCAATTGTTGATGCCAACAAATAATGAGAGAAGATGATAGTTACTTGTAATTATCATTTTTTATAAACATATTTTTCAGTCCAAATCAACTTGTTTTTTCAATCAATTCAAACGTAAAATTATATGATTGTCATTAATAAATGACAAGAAGGAAAAAAATTGAAGGGAGATAAATATGTAATTTTATGCTCAAAACTGGCTATTAAAACAAAAAACAAATACCAGTTCAGAATGAAATACATGTTTCTAATCATCCTTTCTCTCGCTAGAGACCCACCAATCACCTTATAATCAAACACAATCCTAAACAAAGGTCAAGCTCTAACTACCCTTGTCCTTATCCATGAATATGTAGTTAGGCTTTCAATAGCATGAACATGGAGATTTACTTTAAGGTTTCAAATCAAGTCATGTGAGAACTGAACTCAATGAATATCTATTGTTTTCTCTCCTTGTCATGTCATTGTAAGGTTCCTGTTTTTTCATACATCTTATAATTAAAATTAGTACAGGTCTTTCTGCTTTTGAATCTTCTTTCCAGCACCTAACTCTCATACCCACAATTTGAGCAGTAAAATGTGGCTAATTCTCTCCTAACAAACAAATTTGGCATCTAAATGTAGCTGTCAATTACCGCAGTCTCCAATTCTAGGTAATAGTGTGTAGAGATATATGTAAGGAAGAAAATAGCATTTTTCTTTATCATGAAGGTTTTGGTAAATTAGGAACTATTCCATTGAAGACTTCCACAAAAGGGAAGGCATAAAATTGAATGGACCATAACACAAGACTCACAATGCCCATTCAATATGGATACAAACACAATCTTGTCTTTCTCTACCTTATCAAATTGCTTTGTGAACCATTCATTCACAATTTGGATTTGGGATTCCTTCACCCATCATCATTCATCACACGATCAAAAAAAGTTTTGGGTCTTTTTCGGGATAGGACATTGAGTGAAAGAGACGGTATTTGTTAATGTGGTAAAAATTTAAAGATCCTTTATGGAAGGATAGGGTAGGACAATGTCGTTTATGGCCAAAACTATCGACAAAGTAGAAGATAGAAAATGAATGTTTACAGTAGAGTCTAATTGTGAAAGATACTTGCTGACTAACTAAACAGAGACAAATGGATGAATATTTCCAGTAAAATTCCTTCAGCAGTCTGTGTTCTGGATAATCTATTGGACAAAAGAAAGGACAAAATCTAATGCACAAGTAAAATGTGAAAAAGAATGAGAAAAGGATGCTAGAAAACAAGTAAAAGAGCCAATATTATAGATGCTAACTAAATTCAAATTCTGTGAAAAGGTTATTGAACAAAAGAAAAGAGAAAATCTATGAACATAAGCTTCCGAAACAGTAATTATTAACAGTGACTAACTCATGGAACCGGGGGATGAAAACCTGAAGGAGGAGACGAATTTACAAAATGGTGGCTGGCGATGATATGCATGACAACCGAATACCATAAACATACCCATAATGTACAGATGATATGATTGGTAATGGTGCATTAGGCAATTTCATCATGCAGTATGAGTAAGATTAACCGCCCTTCTCAATCGATCTAGGATGCCACTGGCCTTTCTCTTGGCTCTTGAAGTTCCATCTTGAGAGAGCTTAGATATTGTCCCATGGGTATTCTCCTCTTCCCTTATTGCCTTCCATGTGGTTCGATCACTCAAGAATATGGTGTTGAGGATTGCAATGGAGTTCTCCTTATTGCGCTCACAACTGTTCTCCCTAACAATGTGAAGCAAGTAGGGGACAGCTCCAAGGTCGACCATCTCTTCAATGGCCTTTTGATGGCTTGACAGCATTGCAAGGATAGCCAGTAACTCATCTACATGCACATCATCCATAATCTTATTCAATATCACCTTCACTGCACCATCCCTCACTGCCCTTGCCTTGTTTTCATGAATAATACACAGGTTGAATATTGCAGAAGCAACATCCTTCATTGCCAGTGCATGGCCCTCATCTAGAAGGTCAATGAGTGGTTTCAAGGCGCCTGATTTCCCAATAAGTTCCTTGTTAGAATCAAGAGCAGATAATGTGAAGAGCGCTGCAGCAGCATTGCTCCTTGTTTCAATGGTCCCAGATCTCAATGCTTCCATAAGAAGAGGAATAACCATTGGAGTCTCAGCAACTAGTTTCTTGTTGTTGTCATGGATGGACAGATTCAGAAGTGTAGTGATCACATCTTCTTGAAGATCAAGGTGAGCCCCGCTCTGAGATTTGCCTCCAGAAAGTGGATTGAGTAATTGGGGAATGGCATCAACAGACTCGCCAAAAAGAGCCCGAAACGAAGGCATCCTCTTTGTCAATAACCGAAGCTCCTTTGCAGCCTCCTTCTGTTCAGAAATTGAAGCAGACATCTTTTCAAGCAAAGAAAGGAAACAATCACGCTCTGCCTCCGTTACCCCCTCCTCATTGCTAGAATTAACAAGGTCAGGCAATTCTACTCCCTGACCCTTGCACCATTGAGATATCATTTCCCTGACTAGGTAATTAGGAGTAAGAATGGTGTGCGAAAGGACCTGTTGCGTTTTAGGGCAAGTCCTGTTGCCTGATTTCAGCCATTTCTGGATGAAGGATCTATCAAAAGTCTGTACATTAACAAATAAAATGAATCAAGAAGCAAGGCAAAGAAATCCTAACCACAGATTAACAGTGAATGCTAGAAAGATTTGATAATTTCAACAACAAATCCCATTGATGAATTCCATCTATCAACATCAAAGGAAAACAAACCTTTCAAAGAAAAACATCAACCACCAAAAATGATAATAGTTATTACTACTGAATGATTTTCTCTTTTCTCTTGTTTCTCTAGATGAATATAATAAATTATCCTATTTTTCAACCAAAAGTCACAATCTTCCAAGAAAAATAAAATAATCTATCATCATCCCATTCTTGAAATCGAACCATTGGACCAAACAAAACAGATACTGGAAAATCACACACTGGATATAAAGAGAAAATCAAAATGACAGCCGATTAAAGAATTGGCAACCAATATCCACAGTAACTCGTTATGAACCAGCTACCATGAATCAGAATCCCCTCTAATGAACCAAAATTTCTTACTAAAAACAAGAATGCAGAAAATTACAGGATAGAGGTAACAAGAAAATTCAAAAATTAATCTTTAATCATAGACCCGATTTTCTCACCAACCAAACAGTGAACAGAACAAAGAACGAGAATTTCCAGATAATAAAAAAGAATCTTTTTGTTCATATTTTGAAATTCAGTATTCACCCCACTCCACTGTGAACTGAATTAAAAAACAGACCTTCATTAACGCAAACCCCAGAACAAATTAGTTGCTAATTCAGTTTCTGTTTCCTAAACTGCAACCCACAGAAACCCAGTACTGAAAAATTCTGAGAAAACTGACCTGACCAGACGCCAAAATTACAGGATCTCTCATGAGTTCCTGAGAAAGTGGGCACCGGAACTCCTCAGGACACAGCACCGCTTCCTGTAGCTTCAAGGAGAGCGATCGTTTCTTGGTCTTGAGCTCCTTCAAGGCGGATAGTGTCTCCCTGGCTCGATCGATGGTCTCGATGCTGTAATCGTCATCATCTACAATCGTCTTCACAAGCTTCTGCAGTTCCTTCTTCAATTCGGTGGCCTTCGCAATCGCCGTCGGATCGGAATTGAAAACACCCGTCTTGGCCATCCGATTGGCCGGATCGATGAAATAATAAAGAAAGCGTTGGATTTTTCAGAGAACCCAAACAGAAAACAAGAATCAAAACCAAAATTCCGGGTTCTTGCTGAGAATGGAGGAACAGAGAAAGTTCATCCTCTGAAATTCTTCTTCTTGGTTTGTTTGTTTCTCCTAATTTTCTCGGCTTCCATTCTCAGTAATTCTATGAACCCAGAAAAAGGCAGAGACAAACCTTTTTTTCCCACTCTCCCCTAATTTTCTCGCCCTCCAAACAACATTTATTGCATTGATGAGAATAAGGAAGAGAAGAGTCTGCTTTAATGGGCTCAGCTCTCTTCTCCACTAAAACTCCTTTCTTTTCAATTCGAAATTTGCCACTTAAGGTTCGGCCTTTTTTTGTTTCTTTTTTATTTATAGGTGTTGAGTGGATTTCTTTCTTTACCCCTCAAAGATGGAGTTGATTATGGAGATTTCATTCTTTACCCCTACATAAAGGAGTCGATTAAGGGACAAAAAAGTGCTTATCCTTGTCCAATATACATAATAACCATTTTCTTTACTCTATGTGCAAAAAGATTTATTGTGTGAACAAAAATAAAAACTTTATTGTACAAGTAAAAACTATGAGATGTTGGAGGGTATTTTCCTTAAAAAATTGATTTACATATAGTAAATTTTCACACAACAAAAAAGATGTAGATTAGGATTTAATTAATGTAATGAAAGGGTCAAATGAATTTGATGGAGATTCTTTAACAATCAATGATTTTTGTTATGTCCTTATTAGTAATATTTATATTGTGTTTAGTTACAAAATTAAAGTTGCTTAAGGAAGTTAGATGTACACATAACAATTTACCTTTGTGAAAAATAATGACTCATTCACGTCAACATGATAATCTAATTACATTGCATTGCCAGAATCCATATTGTATAGAAGAGGTTAATCTTTTCACGTAATTCTCTCATTGTACAATATCCTCCTTGCTAAGCCTCCTTTCTCTTCATTAATTCACAAAGACAAAATGGATTGATGTTAATAGTTAATTACAAAAGAAACGACTCATTGAATAAAAATCACCAAGTAGTACTAGTTGAATAGTAATATAATACAAGTCATTTTTATTTGGTTTGTAGCTTTTAGGTGTAAACTTATAAATTATGAGAAATATTTATAAAATATGTATGAATTTATAAGTTATGAGAAATATATATAAAATAAATGTAAACTCATAAGTTATGGGAAATACTTACAAAGTAGGTGCAAACCTACAAGGCTATTAGCTCTAAGTTTGTCAAATCAATAACGAAGAGCCATACGACAAAGGAGACAATGGATGTTCCCCAATGGCAACAAGACATAGGCAAGCCAAGCTCCTCTGCACAGACAAGGCTTAGAAGCCTGGCATCTGTGAACTTAGATCTTTTTGATACAAGCTTAGAACTTGGCTTATAGCCTTCAGTCCAATTCAAAACCTGTTATGTATGAGGTATATTTTCTGATAATATCCCTTATGTTCAATGCTTTTTTTTTTTTAAAGGTAAAAAGGTAAAAGGATGAAAATTTTAATGATCTAAGTAATTCAATATTAATTTTTTTTTAAAAAAATTGAATTTAAATTACATAAAATACAGATAGAGTGCTTTAAAAAATGAAAGATAATTATTTTATATTAATGTAAAAAAAAAAGAGAGAGAGAGAGAAAGAGAGATAAAGTTGAAATATGAATTCGAGCTTGGGATGGTGGCTCCCCAGTCGCAAATTTTGTATTATTCATACCCTGAAAGGATCCATACCAATTACTTTATCATCAATAATTCCCCGTAAGTCATGTACATAAATTATGTAATCATGTAATTTTCATTTGCCTTTTTACCCAGTCAAATATGCTACAATTTATTATCATACTCATATAATTAAGTTGGTCCATATGTAAAAAAAATTAAGATTGTCTATTATCTCTTTAAAAAAAAAAGGTTAAGAAATCTTAATATAATCATGTTACAATTTAATTAAATCATCACCTTGATTCCCTAATAATTAAAATAATTTAGTGATAATTTTTTTAATATAAGTAAAAAAAATCTTAAATTCAAATTAAATAACATGTAAATAAATGAATTAAATAATAAAAAATTATATAATTCATGATTAAAAAAATAATAAAAAAATCAGTTAAATCACCATGGTTTTTCTAACCATTTTTATTGACAACAAATTCTTAAATACTGCAGCAACGCAATATTAAATGATTATACTAAATTAATATGTCCCACAATTAAGAAAAGTCAACAAAAATTATATACTGATCAATAATGACAATTTCTTATGGACAAACATTGCTAATGAATAATTTTCATAAATTTGAAACAAGAAACTATGGTGTATGGACGGACGACATCTTTAGAAATTTTGGTCCAAAACATTGTGCTCTAAAGTTACCACGTAGTTGACAAAATAACCTGTTATGATTATCATGCAATTTACCATAAATAGCAAAAAATTACT